GACGTATTTTGCAGCAATTTTTAGCATGCATTTTCTCGCTTCTGACGTCATTAAAAAGAGATGGATGATGCGACTCCCCAGGAGCCTTAAGGCAGAATTTTGATATGTTTCTCGGTTGCAAAATTCTAGTTATTTTTAACATAAAACCTTCTCAATATACACATATTTTGTGCGAATCGAGCTAATGTATGCATTTTTCATTTGATTCCACATAAAGGAGATAGCTATAGAGCGAATGAAGCATACTCCCGAGCCCAACGCGCGGATCCATGCTACGTGAACAGTTGGGTCGGCCAAGGGTTGATCGCAGAAAAATTCTTGAAAAAAGAAGCGATGGAGTTGTTTCAACACTCGACGAAATTGGGCTACCACAACGAAGCGGTCCTTGGTTATGCTCACTGGGTACTTTCCGTTCTACTGAATCCCACATTGAACAGAGAACAGTCTTCCATCTACTTCATCGAGAATATGCATGCGATACCTGCGGCAGCGGACGTCCTCACCTGGTACATAGGTAAGCGACAATTGACGTTGACTATCTGGCTTCCTTATTATATCCTTCATGTTTTATTTTATATACAATCCCACGTTATTTTCAGAACGTGAGCCCAACGACATTTACGCTTTGAACACTCACGGTTTGCTGCTGGAACGACAGAAATTACACAAATCTGCGGCTGATAGATTTGCTGCGGCTTTAGAACTGAGCACGAACGAGTATTCGGACATGATAAATCTCAATCTGGCACGTGTCATGCTCCAGTTAGAACGGTACGATGAAGCAGTACGGTTATGTGGACAAGTGAAACATAACGATTTCAATTCTCAATGCCACTTAGCATTGTCCACGTTCAAAGGTGTGTTATCGCGATACAATCGGATTCGCTCACATCTAAATCAAAGATTCTCAACTTCTTATTCATTATTACCTCCCTTATTCTTTAGACTCTTTCCAGTTTTGATATCATGATATTTGTTCATATATATCTGTGTGCCTCCTGCATAAGTAAATAAAAATTGTATTCTTTTTAAAAAATAAGATGAATATAAGGCTTTGACAACAAAACAATATAACAGAAGGACCAATAAGAGCCAAGTGCTATTTTTACTACATAATCTTATTCCTTTTATTTAATGCAGGGTTACAAATAAGCAAATAAATTTCTTTTAAATCACATACACAATGCTACTCGTGTAATACTAAAGAAAAAAATCAATGAAAGAAGTTAAATACTGAGGAATAAAATTTTGTTGTTTAGAAATTGATACTTTGGATGGCCATAAATTGCTGTAATAACTAACATTCTTTTGTCTCCTGAAAACGATTTCGCTTTCGTTGAGAATATTTGATTTAGATGAACGTATAATTCCCAATTGATCAATAAAGAGAGAAATGTATTCACGCGTAGCCAAGCAGTATGAGAAGTCCTATGAGGATTACGAAGGAGCTCTCCACTGGCTAGCAGAGACTGATACCGCTAAAGCATACGTCCTTTGCGCGATGGGTGCGATAGCTTATACTTTTAAGAAAATAGACGTCGTGAAGACCCTGCTGTTCCAATGTTTGCAAATACCACAACCTGTGATGACCGCTTATTTGGCGCTCGCGGCCTTAGGAATTCTGCACAATGACATCGATCTGACCGCTTTAGTACTGAAAGAATTGAAGTTATACGAACATCATCCCGAATACGGCCACCACGCTATCACATTGACTGCGTATTATCATGTTTCTCAGCAAAACATTACCGAAGCTATCCGGGTGTTGGCCAAAAGCATTTACAAGTATCCTAGTAAGCGAAATCCGAAATCGTTTGTCCGTTTGTAGTCACTTGAATATGCGAGAAAATAAGTTCATGTTTAAACAAAACCATGTTATAGGTGACGTCAGATACTGGGTACGTCTCGTTAGAATTTTACTGTTGGATACGAACTTAAGCAAGTTCCGAAAATGTGCAGAGAAAGCTTTGTGTCTAAGCAGGAGCACCTCTATGAGCGATATTGTGTATGTCGCGTGTGCATCGGCGTATAGCCACCTTGGCACGAAAGAAGCTCTTAGGCAGGCTCAGAAAAATGTATTTACGTACCCTGCTAATATCGAAAGCTGGGCCAATTTAATCGCCATTTTTCTATACAGGTAAGCACGATGAGACAGTGGTCAGACGTTATTTGACGTTGTGATTGACCAAACAGAAGAAAATATGGTGAATTGCAACATAGACAAATTGATGTCACTCGAATGATTTATTTCTTAGACCCGTGATTCGATCATAAATAGTTTTTAATGTACATTGAAAAATATTTCCCAATGCTTTCAAGTTAGAAAAAGTTCATTTTTCACAAGCAAAAGTTTCATAATCGATCCTCTGTTTTTTATAGCTATACTTTCTGTAATATTTTCTAATCTTTTTATTTTCTTTCCTCTTCCACAGTGTCAGTGTTTATTGTGTATATCTTCTTTATTTCAAATCCGGACAATATCTTAAAAACCAGATCTCTTATCTACACCTGACTGTGCATTGCTTCCTCTACATAACTCTTCTTCTCTTTACAGATGTATAGATGAAGATTGTGAAATTGATAATCAATGGTTGTCATCGTTAATATCTATAATACAAACGCAATTCCAAACTTCCGAACACATGTCGCAGTGGCTCGCCAAAGCGAAAGAGATTAACAATTCCTAATCTCGAATAGAGATTAAGGCCTTGCATCTCGTAACTTAAATATGTAATGGTTTTATTATCTTCTAATATTCTACATTCTAAATTTAAATTAATAAATCATGTAATACATTTTATAAATCTGTGTGATAAAATTTATTATTGTGAATTTATCAATATGTATGATATACGAGGAAGATATCCGTTAGGTTAATAATAACGAGATTTTGTTGACCGCGGGTCGATATATTTATTTAAATATTTATTCATTAGTTTAACTTTGAAGTTCGACCCAAGTTATATGTGAACTATTTATTATGGGATATATGAAAACATCATCTACAGTTGTTTCATACACGACACACTTACAAAAGATTCCGCAGCATTGGTTTGCGTGTAGGTGTTAACTGTTGTCGCTGGAGATAAACATTGTTATTTGTTCTTGTTTCTTGGTTCATGGTTCTCGGTCCACGTTTCAATTCATATTTTATCTCTGTGGTGAGATGGTTCTGCAGAGTCTACAATGAAAAGGTACAGTTCGGTATAATTATCTTCGTACATGTTCGGTTTCTTCTCAGTGTATGAGAAATTTGCTGAGTTATTTTACTGTATCAAATTAAGACTTGAAAGATTAACGTAATAGTAATTAAAATTAACGTTCTCTCTGTGTCAGCTATCAATGAGCCATAATTTGATCTTTTCCATTTAAGCTTCAATATTTTATTATATAAAGATCACAATAGTTACGTTCAATAAAATGACATATTCAATAAACTACTAGTAATTACTGGAACTAAATCATGTATACTTTTACGTCTTGACTAGATTTGAAGGTATACATCAATCAGATTCTCAAATTACTAAATGTCCATTGAATGCTTCCTTCTACTGAATGTAATCATTTATCGATGTTTTAAATCACGTCACCGTGAGTCACATAACGGAAACTCCTGTAGAAATGATATTATACACAGAACGTATTAGCGTAAAATTAATATACAATACTTATTATTTAAGCAGAACATACGTCAGGCAAAATACGATTGTTGTTTTTCAAGAGAGCGAGCAATTTGTACAATTCGAAGTCTTTTGCGATATTCTCCTTTTCCATGGCATATTCCAGGTTTTCAATCTAAGAAATGTGAAAAATATAACAGCAATGCGCATATATATATTGCTAAATATCTAAAACCATTTCTGTATTAAATACATACCACATCTTTAAAATAACATTCTTTCTGGTTATTTGGCTTATCTTGATCTAACGAAGTTCTGAAAATTGGCACTATCTCAGTGAACCTCTTCAGATTTGTATACGCAGCAACTTTCAAACATCTCACGTCGATATATCGGGCCTGTCTGATCGTGGTGATAATTTCGATGGCTATATGAGCCATATTTTGATTAATGGCTAGAGCCGCTAAAAGCGACGTGGCTCTACGCACGTAATATTCGTCGTTGATAAATTCTTTCCAAATACTCAGAGCATATTCTATTGACTCTGCTGTATTCTGAAAGCAACGAACGTTATTGTACAGAACGAACATTGATAACAATTTAGGCTTTTAGCCGATCTAAGGTAAAAATACTAACTCCTAGAACACGTATCTAATCCAGACCATTATTTTGGTCATTAAATACGAATATTTAAACTTTTAACATAAAATATATGTACATATATTTTATGTTACAACATATCCGTATTGAAAAATCAAAATAATAAAAATGTTCAGAATTATGTCTGAGCATTGATATTTGCACTTTAATATTATATTGGAATCTTATTCCTTTTTCCATCAACATTAGGTTATATATTTCATTTCAAACACAAGAATGCAATCTAATTCAGTTACAAAAAGAAATATTTTAATTGCAGTCATTGTGAAGTATTTACCTCTTTGTAACAGGCAGCCATAACCATCGTAATTGAATTCTTGGGAAACATGTTATTGGTTGCGTTCTTGATCTTAATTATTTCAAACACTTCTTTTATGTCTGAATATCTATTATGTTTGTAGAGCAAACACAAGAGAATCTGATAACTCATAAATTGGTTAAAGAAATTGTCAAACTGGGGATCTTTGAAAGCAGTAAGTGCAAGATCCGGTTCATCCAGGTAATAGAAAGTCCGCATCACAACAGGACCAAAGATAAAATTACCAAATCTCATCTCCTTGTTTTGTATGTTAAACTTTGTTAGCATCTTGACAATCAGCTCGATATCCTCAGGCTTTTTTTGGACCAGGTGCAACATGGACTTCAAGTCTTCTGTGAAGATCATGCTGGATTCTGTATTGCATACTTCTTGCATCTTGCTACGGAATGTATCTTCCACATTTATAAATTGATTACGAAAATTTAATCTTGCAGCTTCATAGTTAACTATACCCAAAGCTTGATCCGAATACAAAAATCTGCAAGCTACAAAAAGAAAAAAAGAATGTATCACAATTTTATTGCATCATAACGGTAGAGAATATAAAAACCTAGAGATTAAATTTTAAAATCTATTTTATAAAACGCGTAAAAAAACCAATTTCGATAGATTAAGACTATTTAAATTCTTTGTTCATCGCAAAGTATCGCAAAGTTACAATTTTTCAATGAATTCTAAACACCTAGTCATTATTTAATAAATTCTCAAATATAACGCACGAGCTATGAAATTTTATGTAACACGTTTAGAGTATAAGGGCGGATTCCATTCCAGTAAGTTTATCGAGCTAGCCCTTTGAATTTAAAATATCTTGTATATTAGTATTTATTTCCACGAATCATTGAAACGATGTTATATATCATTACTTATATTTATATTAAAATCATGATATCACTGTTATAATTATTCGCATAATATGTCAAATACGGAATGCAATGTCCAAATTTTTTTTAAGGCGGCATGCTGATAGAATGTAATGTAAGGTTAGATCGATATTACGCACAATTCAATAGACTACTTCTCAACAGAGTATTGCTGGCCAAAGTAACATTGAGCTTCATGAGACCTCTCATTGTAGCCGCCATTATTTTCACGTGTAACCGACTCGGATCTTTTCTTCTATACTCAAATATTAGGTTTCGTAAATTTGGTTACTAGAAGTTAACCGCCGACCGATACACGAAACCAAGTCGAGAAGAAGGCTAACCGGAAGCTCGCCTGGACTGCTTGCGTTACTGGGACTACGCGTGATTTCCGGTGTGGCGACACAGAAATAGTTTGTTCTTTTTAGCTGCACTGCTGAATTATGGCTCCTGCACACAGGACGGGGTGTATATCAGTTGGACACGGGGCAATTGGACATAGTCCAATCACAAGTCGCTGTTCCAAGGGACCCTACAATGTCTCTAATCACACGGTGCTGTGATTGGCTGTGTCCAAATGCACCGTGTCCAAGTGCACCGCTCCCCACAGGACCCGGTAATGCTTGCCGTGCGGCGGAAGTCCGATCAATATGTTGTTTTTCCGTAAGAGCTAGAAAGTTATTACGGAAAGCAACATATTGATTGGCTGTCGCGCGAACTTCCGCCACGCGGCAAGCATTACTGCGTCCTGTGTGCAGGAGCCATTATATTCAATTTCTTCACCTCCGGTTATGCAGGATTCATACCGCGTCCAAGTTGACGTACGACGTCCGATATCCAATAAAAGAATAGCTTTCCAATAGAGAATTGAATTCTATATCAGAAAGCTGTTCTCCTATTAGATATTGGACGTCGTATGTCGGACGTTGTACGTTGAACATCGACGAGGTGTGAATCCTGCATTAACTTAAGTTCCAATACAATAGGTGTAGTAAGCTTTAAGCCTTAAGAAATTGACCAATCACAGTCAAATTTGAGGAGAATAATCGACTGTGATTGGTCGATTTCTTAAGGTTTAAAGCTTATTACATCTATTGTGGCTCAGGACTTAAGCTGGTGGCACACAAAAAAACTTAAGCAGTAAGCAAATTGACTAATCACAATCGTTGATTCTTGGACCGTAAGAAGAATCAATGACTGTGATTGGTCAATTTGCTTACTGCTTACGTTTTACTGCTTAAGTTTTTTTGTGTGCCACTAGCCTTAAGGGACGTCTACATTGGAAGTAAATAGCAAGAAGTAGGAAGTAAGAGTAAGAAATTGACCAACCACAGTCGAATGTGAGAAGAATAATCAACTATGATTGGTCAATTTCTTATTCTTACTTCCTACTTCTTACTGCTTACTTCTAATGTAGACGTCCCTTTAAGCCCATTCTACAATTGCGTGAACGTGGTTGTAAGTGGTTGATGTGATTACGACAACCAATCAGAATAAAGCAATCAGTAAATAAAACATTCAGATTGGTTGACTCACGATCACGACTACGCTTACGCAATTGTAGAATGGGCTTTAAGCCTATTCTACAATTGCGTGAACGTGGTGTAAGGAGTTCTAAGTGATTACGACACCAATCAGAGTAAAGTAATCAGTAAATAAAATATTCGGATTGGTTGACTCTTACGTTCACGACTACGCTTACGCAATTGTAAAATGGGCTTTAAGCGTCTTCTACAATAGGAGTACTAGTAAGAAATAAGCAGTAAGTAAATAGACCAATCACAATCGATTATTTTTGAAACGTGAGAATGGAAT